ACTGAGTTTCAATTGAGATTTTTACCGAAGTTGGACTATTCTTAGTTGGCAGATTTACCACATGGATTTCAATATCATATGTGAATTATTATTTTTTCTTTTTTGGTCAACATGTACGTGGTTTGTGCAACACGCGCCATGCCACAAGAAAAGATATTTAAAATATTGGATATAAATGGATTAAGGGATCCAGATGACAAAATAATAAATAAAAGTGTCTAAAATACAATCCTATACAAATAAAAGGGTCCACCAAACTATTTCACCTAACTTATATTCAAGTCAAACAATTTCCTCCTCAATACTCAAAATTTATCAATAATTAACTTTCATTATCCAAACAACCCCTAAAAATAAGGCCTAGATAAAACAGAAAGAGAGCAGGTTACAAATGGTCCAAAGCGTGAATATTACGCGGCACCTAAGGAAACACAATATGGACAAACCATACCCATTTTCCTTTAAATTGATATATCTCCATCACATTACCCGCAATTAAAAGGACATTTTGTCTAGTAATATTAAAACTTTCCACTAGTCCATCATTTCAAAGCTTTTTTTTTTGAAGAAATGGGAGTAACAATACATGCGAAATCGGACTCAGTGGTTACTAGTATCGACGCATGTTCACCAAGAAGAGCATTGTATTATGTTCAGAGTCCATCACACTCTCGAACAATATGATGTTGAGAAAATGTCATATGTATCTAGCCCATTTGGGTCACCAACTCATCACTACCACTGCTCTCCCATTCACCATTAACATGAATCCTCTACATCTAGATTCTCTGCTTCTTTGAAAAACAATCAACTAGCTGTGTGGAAAAGAATACACTGTACTAATAATGACGAGGATAATGAGGCTGAGGATGAAAACGGTGAACACGTAGACTATGATAATAATAGCAAATCTGTCAAGTTCGATGTGGTCTGCTTTTCTTTTCTTTTATTGTGTTGTTCACCATATTCTCTCTCATACTTTGGGCTGCTAGTCTACCTTACAAACCCAAAGTCTTTGTTAAGGTAATCAACTGCATTGTTGTGTGAATAAGGGATTTTTTGCTTTATTCTTGTGATTTGTGAGTAATAATATATAATACTATGACGGTGTGGTACAGGGTATGGTTATTGAAAATTTGGATGTACAAGCAGGAATAGATGGTACTAGGGTACAAACGGATATGTTGAATCTAAATTCAACGGTGAGGATATATTACCAATATCCAATGAGTTTTTTCGGAGTGCATGTCTCAACTACACTACCTGAATTTCATTATTACTAGCTCAAGCTCGCCTCTGGTCATGTATGTTTATTAATTTCTGCAATTTTCTTTAAATCTACCAACTCTTCCCTCTTCTCTTTCTTGGTCATGTTCTAAATTCAAAACTCAAACAAAAAAAGAAAATTAAAATTAAAATTATGGAATAGTCTAAGTCGTACTCTCCTTTTTTTTCTGATTGATTTTGCGTATTGAATAAAAATTATAAAAAGGAGAATAATTTCAAAAATGACTTTTCTCCATCTCTAATTATTTATTTATTTTTAAACTGATATATCCTAATAAATATCATAAATATATCATTTTATTTCTATTAATTATCAAATGAATAAATTAAAATTGTAAGATATTATAAACAAATAATTAGGAAAATAATTATAATTAGGAAAATAATTATAATTAGTGATAGCAATAATTTAAGAATTAAAATATAAAATAATTTCTTGATTTTATAAATTAAATAAATATTGTTAATATTTCAAAATAATATAGAGAATCATTATTAGTGAAACATATAAAGAAAAATATTTACAACAATAATGATGTTGTCCTTAATAAGATATTTTAAATTCAAGCCATAAATATCAAAATAATTTTGTTGAAAGCGCTACCTTCAAATGAACCGTGCAATATGTCATTCGAATTCGAATTTAGGGTCCTTTTGATTATAGATTTTCCAAATAACATATTGGAAAAAAATTGGTAAATAATATTTGTTCATATCATTTGCTATTATTTGGCAAATATCTCATATTTTCAAAAACTAGTTTTTTCTAATATTTGGTTCAAATATCATTATTTAGATATTTTTAAAAATTAAAATTTTACCTTAAATTTTTATTTTTTACAAAAACATTTATAGTAGTAGATTGCGTTGTATTACATAATTTTTTACGTGAACACCGAAATAATAATATTTTATCTTTAGTGAATATTAAATAATAATATAATTATTAATGAAAATGATAAAAAAATTTAGCGCAAGATAACAAAGTCTACTTTACTTTGTATAGAATGATGCTTTTTGCACTCATTTCAAATTATTACATTGCTCTAATGTCATAAATATTATTTGTTATTATCGTAACGAACATTCCATTAATTTATAAATAAACTTATAATTAATTTTAATAATTTTTAAAAATTATAGATATAAATTATACTTTTATAAAAAAATAAAATATACTTTTTAAATTATATGATCAAACATATTATAAAATTTCACTCAAATAATATTTATCATAAATATTTAAAATTTTTGAGCAAAACGCCAACTTAATCTAAACTCATGTAAATCTCCTATCACCCGGTGGAATCAAAAAAAAGAAATAGAGTGTTGGTGTGTTAATTACTATATTGCCATTCCCTAGGTTGGTGTGTCTCTTGGGTAATACCATGAAAAAGGCTGCACAAAGTCTGTACCCACTTTGCTTTTTTGATTAAAATGCGACTTTCTATGTCCTTCCTAAAAACAAGCTGCCTGCCCTATGCCACTACATTTAACACAATATTTTGATTATTACTTTCTTTTTTTATATAAAATATTTTATTTGTCAGCATTTACTTTAAAAGATCTAACAATAATATTGGTTCAATTTTTTTAAAAACATTAGATAATTTATTATGTTATATCTATTTTATCGTTGTTATTAGATTCTATTTGCTTTTTTTTAATATTTAGATAATTTATATTTTTTTATCTCATTATGTATATATTTTTTAATTGATATATTTATTAAGAAATAATCATTAACATAATGAGTTTATCATTTCCTTTATATTTATTATGTAGTGGATCAATTCAAAATTTTAAAATTTTCATAAGTAATTAATTAAGAGTATAATCGATAAGAAAATTATTTTGATTTGTCAACATAGAAGTAATTAGAAGTAACTATAAAAAAAAAAATAAACAAGTAATTAGGAACATAAAAAAATATTCAATAAGAGCGTAGTCTTATAAAAGTACATTTATAGTTATTGTTTCTTAATCCCTGACAGCTATTATTGGACATGAGTTTAATTTATTGGAATAGAGCTAAAAATATTTTTAAAGTATTGGAAATGTTGTAAAATTATTTTTCATCTATATATTGATTCCAAAATGTCCTTTTCATCAATTTATTGACTTTAAAATACCCTTGTCATTCATTTTTGAGTTCAAAATAAACTACTTTTTTAGCTATTTAAAAATTAAATATTTTTAAAAAATACTTGACGCTCAACTATTGATTATAATTTAATTTATTAATAAATTAAATTATAACTAATAATTGGTTAAAAAGTGGTCAATTTTAAACTTAAACATGGATGACAAGGATATTTTGGAGTCAATAGATGGATGAGAAAGACATTTTAGAGCCAATAGAATGATGAATAGTATTTTTGTATCATTTTCAATACTTTAAAAGTATTTTAGACTTTTTTTCGTAATTTTATTTTTGATGGATTGACACACTTCTTTTTTTGCTTTAAATTAACGATAAATTTTGTAGTGAAATTGAAAATTTGAGTAAATATAGAAATAAATCCTTATTAAATAAAAATGTAAAATATTTAAGTCGAGACAAAGAGACATTCTTACAAAAATAATTGTTTGAAGTTTCTATACTTCAAAAGGACAGTTTGTACATTCTCATTTCATATTATTTTATGTGATATTATAGTTTTTTATTGATTTATTCCAGAAGAACAATACTTCAAATATTGAAACTAAACAATAAACTAAAAATAATTTGTGTACTCATCTTCTCAGACTTTAAGATGTTTGTATTTTTTGATTGTTTACTTACAACACTTCAATTTTTATTTTTAATTACAGTAGAATGCCACGATAAGCTCATATTACTCACGTGTTTTTATTTATTTATTTTTTCCTAATTAATGTTTTTTTTTGTATTAATAACTCTAATTTTAAGTTATTTTTATCGAAGTTGGACTATTCTTAGCTAGCGTTTGGCCATAGATTTTCAAATATTCTTGGCAAACATTATTTGAGTGAAAATTTGGGTGAAATTTCACCATGTGTTTGGCCATAAAATTTGGGAAATATATTTCACTTTTTTAGAAAAATATGATTTATACGCGCAAGTTTTAAAAACTAACAAAACTAACTAAAAGTTTGTATTACAAGTCAATTGAATGTTCGTTACAACAATAACAAATAATGTTCATGACACTAAAGCAATGTGGTAATTTGGAGTGAGTGCAACAAGAATTATTACATACATCGTGAAGTAGACAAAGTACATGACTTTGTTACCTAAAGCCAATTTTTAATAATTTTCATCAACAATCATATCATTATTTAATATTCACTAAATATTTTATCACTATTTTGATGTTCACGTAAAAAATGATGTAATACAACGCAAGCAACAACTAGAGAGGGTGTTTTTATAAAAGATAAAAGATTGGGGTAAAATTTTAATTTTTAAAATATCCCAAATAATGAGATTTGGCCCAAATACTAGAAAAAATTAGTATTTGAAAATTTGGGATATTTGCCAAAAATATTTACCAATAATGACAAATTGTATGGACAAACATTATTTGCCAAATTTTTCCCAAATATTATTTGGAAAATTTATGGCCAAACGGGGCCTTAGTTGGCAAATTTACCACATGAATTTCAATATTATATGTGAATTATTATTTTTCCATTTTGGTAAACTTGTACGTGATTTGTGCAACACGCGCCATGCCACAAGAAAAGATATTTAAAATATTGGATCTTAATGAATTTAGGAATCCAAATGACAAAAGAATAAATAAAAGTGTCTTAAATACAATTCTACACAAGTAAAAGAGTTCACTAAACCATTTCACCTAAATTATATTCAAGCCAAATAATTTCCTCCTCAATACTCAAAATTTATCAATAATTAACTTTCATTATCCAAACAACCCCTAAAAATCAAGCTTAGATAAAACAGAAAGACAGCAGATTACAAATGGTCCAAAGCATGAATATTACGCGGCACCTAGGGAAATACAATATGGACAAATCAGACCCATTGTCCCTTAAATCGATATATCTCCATCACATTACCCACAATTAAAAAGACATTTTGTCTAAATATTAAAACTTTCCACTAGTCCATCTTTTCAAAGCCTTTTTTTTGTTGAAGAAATGGGAGTAACAATACATGCAAAATCGGATTCAGAGGTTACTAGTATCGATGCATGTTCACCAAGAAGAGCACTGTATTATGTTCAGAGTCCATCACACTCTCAACAACATGATGTTGAGAAAATGTCATATGGATCTAGCCCATTTGGGTCACCAACTCATCACTACCACTGCTCTCCCATTCACCATTCACGTGAATCCTCTACTTCTAGATTCTCTGCTTCTTTGAAAAACAATCAACTAGCTGTCTGGAAGAGAATACCTGGAACTAATAACTACGAGGATAATGAGGCTGAGGCTGAAAACGGTGAAGACGTAGACTATGATAATAATAGCAAATCAGTCAAGTTCTATGTGGTCTGCTTTCTCTTTTCTTTTATCGTGTTGTTCGCCATCTTCTCTCTCATACTTTGGGCTGCTAGTCTACCTTACAAGCCAAAAGTCTTTGTTAAGGTAATCAACTGCATTATTGTCTGAATATGGGATATTTTGCTTTATTCTTGTGATTTGTGAGTAATAATATATAATACTATGACGGTATGGTACAGGGTATGGTTATTGAAAATTTGAATGTACAAGCAGGAATAGATGGTACCGTGGTACAAACGGATATGTTGAATCTAAATTCAACGGTGAGGATATATTATCGGAACCCAGCAAGTTTTTTCGGAGTGCATGTCTCAGCTACACTACTTGAACTTCATTATTACAAGCTCAAGCTCGCCTCTGGTCAAGTATGTTTTATTAATTTCTGCAATTTTCATTAAATCTACCAACTCTTTCCTCTTCTCTTTCTTGGTTATGTTCTAAAATTCAAAACTCAGACAAAAAAGAAAATTAAAATTAAAATTATCGAACAGTCTAAGTTGAACTCTCCCTTTTTCTGATTGATTTTACGTATTTAATAAAAACTATAAAAAAGAGAGTAATTTCAAAAATGACTTTTCTCGGTCACTAATTATTTGTTTGTTTATTTTTAAACTGATATATACTAATAAATATCATAAATATATCATTTTATTTCTATTAATTATCAAATGAATAAATTAAAATTTTAAGATATTATAAACAAATAATTAGGAAAATAATTATAATTAGTGATAACAATAATTTAAGAATTTAATATAAAATAATTTCTTAAATTTATAAATTAAATTATTGTGAATATTTCATAATAATATAGAGAATCATTATTATTGAAACGTATGAAGAAAAATATTTTCACCAATAATGATGCGGTCCTTAATCAGATATTTTAAATTCAAGCCATAAATATCAAAATAATTTTGTTGAAAGCGTTACCTTCAAATAAACCGTGCAATATGTCACTCGAATTTAGGGTCCTTTTGATAACATATGGGAAAAAAATTGGCAAATAATATTTGTTCATATCATTTGCTATTATTTGGCAAATATCTCATATTTTCAAAAACTAGTTTTTTCTAATATTTGGTTCAAATATCATTATTTAGATTTTTTTAAAAATTAAAATTTTACCTTAAATTTTTATCTTTTACAAAAACATCTATAGTAGTAGATTGCGTTGTATTACATAATTTTTATGTGAACACCGAAATAATAATATTCTATCTTTAGTAAATATTAAATAATAATATAATTATTAATGAAAATGATAAAAAATTTAGCGCAAGATAACAAAGTCTATTTTACTTTGTATAGAATGATGCTTTTTGCACTCATTTCAAATTATCACATTGCTCTAGTGTCATAAATATTATTCGTTATTATTGTAATGAACATTCAATCAACTTGTAAATAAACTTATAATTAATTTTAATAATTTTTAAAATTTATAGATATAAATTATATTTTTATAAAAAAAAAATATATTTTCTAAATTATTTGATTAAACATATTGTAAAATTTCACTCAAATAATATTTATCATAAATATTTAAAATTTATGAGCAAAACGCCAACTTAATCTAAACTCTAATGTAAATCTCCTATCACCCGGTGGAATCAAAAAAAAGAAATAGAGTGTTGGTGTGTTAATTACTATATTGCCATTCCCTAGATTGGTGTGTCTCTTGGGTAATAGCATGAAAAAGGCTGCACAAAGTCTGTACCCACTTTGCTTTTTTGATTAAAATGCGACTTTCTATGTCCTTCCTAAAAACAAGCTGCCTGCCCTATGCCACTACATTTAACACAATATTTTGATTATTACTTTTTTTTATATATATAAAATATTTTATTTGTCAGTATATTACTTTCAGTTTTTTTTAAAACATTAGATAATTTATTATGTTATATCTAATTTGTTATTAGATTCTATTCGCTTTTTTTTAATATTTAGATAATTTCTATTTTTTTATTTTATTATGTATATATTGTTTGATCGATATATTTATTAAGAAATAGTCATTAATATAATGAGTTTATCATTTCCTTTATATTAATTATGTAGTGGATGAATTAAAAAATTTAAAATTTTCATAAACTTCTATCTTATTTCAAAGTAATTAATTGAGAGTATAATCGATAAGTTAATCATTTTAATTTGTCAACATAAAAATAATTAAAAGTAACTAGAAATAACTATAAAAAAAAATGAACAAGTAATTAGGAACGTAAAGAGTATTTAATAAGAGCGTAATCTTATAAAAGTACATTTGTAATTATTGTTTCTTAATCCTTGACAGCTGTTATTGGACATGAATTTAATTTTATCAGAAAAGAGCCTAAAATATTTTTTAAGAATTGGAAATGTTATAAAATTATTCTTTATCTATATATTTGCTTCAAAAATTCTTTATCATCTATTTATTGACTCTAAAATACTCTTGTCATCCATTTTTAAGTTCAAAATTGACTACTTTTTTAGCTATTTAAAAATTGAATTGTTTAAATATTTTTTAAAAATACTTGACGCTCAACTATTGGTTATAAATTAATTATTAATTAATTAAATTATAACCAATAGTTGGTTATAAAAGTGATCAATTTTGAACTCAAAGATGGATTACAAGGATATTTTAAAACCAATAGATAGATGAGAAAACATTTTGAAGCTAATCGATTGATGAATGATAATTTTATATCATTTTCAATACTTTGAGGATATTTTAGGTCCTTTTCTGTAATTTTATTTTTGATGAATTAACACACTTCTTTTTTTGCTTTAAATTAATAACAATTTTTATAGTGAAATTGAATATTTGAGTAAATATAGAAATAAATCCTTATTAAATAAAAAAGTAAAATATTTAAGTTGAGACAAAGAGACATTCTTACAAAATAATTGTTTGAAGTTTCTATACTTCAAAAGGACAGTTTGTACCTTCTCATTTCATATTATTTTATGTGATATTATTGTATTTTATTGATTTATTCCAGAAGAACAATACTTCAAATATTGAAACTAAACAATAAACTAAAAATAATTTGTGTACTCATCTTCTCAGACTTTAATATGTTTGTATTTTTTGATTGTTTACTTACAACACTTCAATTTTTATTTTTAATCACAGTAGAATGCCACGATAAGCTCATATTACTCCACGTGTTTTAATGTATTTATTTTTTCCTAATTAATGTTAATTTTTTTTTTGTCTTAATAGCTCTAATTTTAATTCATTTTTTATCTAGCGTTTGCCAAAGTTTTCAAATATTTTTAACAAGTAAGTTAGATTTGGGTAAAGTTTTGGTCATCATGTGTATAGCCTTTCAAAAATATTTGACTATTTTGAAAGTCATGAATTATATCCATAAATTTAAAAAATTATTGAAAATATTCATAAATTTATATTAATTATCTTATAACAAATATGGTTTATTAAAAAATAATATTATAAGTTATGTAATTGATACCAATCAACAATAACGAAATAACAATTTAAACAAGATAAAGTATTAATCTAATACTCAAATGTATCATTGGTTCATTCATAATTATAACCCTGTAAATACAAATTGTTCTTTCTTTTCTCAATTGTATCACTGAAATTAGAACTCCCAACTTTTTCCTAAGGAGATAGTAACAAATACTAATTGAAACTAATAAATAATGAGTATTTTTTTTTATAAAATATAAAAATATGGGGTAATTTTTAAATTTGTCAAATTAGAACTTGATCCAAATACTAGAAAAATACTACAGTAATTTTTTTCTAGTACTTAAAAACTTAGTATATTTATCAAGTTATATGACCAAATATCATTTCTCGAGTTTTTCCCAATCGGATATGACAAGATTTTGAAATATTGGTAGTACATTATATATATATTTTTAGATTAACATTACAATGTAAAATTAATTTTGATGCTGAATTAAAACTTTGAACACTTGAAAGTGAAATAGTGGGAGTAATCAACATCACAAATTTCGAATTAATGAAATTATTTTAGATTATAAATTTGGTGTGAGGTAAATATGCACAACAAATCGTGAAATGAGAATATATTTGACATGTAATAATTTTGAAATGCTTTGATTAACGATTATGACTAGTCGGATCAAGTTGAGATAGCCCGTAAATAGTTATGTGGGATCGGGACCAGAGCTAGGACCACTAATTTGTTCAATTTAAATTGCTTTTTCTGTGTGATCTTTCAATTTTTTATTTAACTGATACTAAATAAAATATATATAATGTAAAGATATCATTTGAGATTCTTGTTCAAAAATCACTTATTAGTCAACGATATATACATATATATTTATTTATTTATGATATCATTAAAGTTTCTTTATCAGAAATTACCGATTCGTCAATAATTTCTTATTAGTATATAATATAAATCATGAGTATCATAGAGCGTTGTCATGGAGAAATGAACCGGTCCTCTATAATATCATGTCAGTATATATGATATATATCAGGTAGATGTCTTAAACTACAAATGAGTGTTTTCTTTTTACAGGAAAAACCAATACTCTTTTTGAAAGCATGAACCATACTAATATGACTACATGATATATATCGTTAAGGTATTAAAGAAATCTAAGTAGTGTTCACTTGAAAGAATGAATTTGCCTTCTATGATACCATGTTCGTATATAATATATACGTGGATATCATAGAGGACCAGTTAATACTTTCTATTGAAGAAATATCACAGTTTTTAATGATACCATGTCAATATATGATATTTATCACATGAGCGCATCATAATGTCGTTTTAACGGTTTAAGCAGATGAAGAAGTTCTATGAGGCAAGGAAGAGTAAGAGGATTGTGGTGGTTGTTGTTCAAGGCCATCAAATTCCATTGTATGGCGCAATATCAGTTCTTAGTGATGCTAAAAAACAGATTCAGAGTGTGTCTCTACCTCTCAACTTAACATTCCTAGTAAGATCAACAGCGTATATATTGGGAAGGCTTGTGAAGCCCAACTTCTCTATTCATATCTCTTGTCAACTAACTCTTAAAGGCAATCACCTAGGCAAACACATCAATTTGACGAACTCTCATTCTTGTACTTATTCATGAATTACTTCTTTTTCTATCTTTGTCCACTAATTCAAATTTTTCTTTTTACACGACTGCCAGTCGAATTGTTGCTTAGCTTCTACCTTGTTGTGGTTATTGTTAGAGCTTTAAAAATGGGTTGATCTATTCAATCCTAATGTGTTAAAGAGTTGTATGAGTTAGGATTCTTTTAATTAAAGGACATCAAATAGTAGCCCAACTCAACCCTAAGTGGGCCGGAGGTTCGCACAGGTTGTTCCTTTAACTAATAGATGAACAATATTGGTGTATTAGATAGTGTATCTAAGAGTATCGAACGTTGATATCTGATGAACACGATATCAGTATATGCAAAATTTATTTATGAATTACTTACTCAGTAATTTCTTACAACAATACATAATAATCGAGTCCGGAGCTTAAAGGGCAAAAAAAATTGATAAAATTTTAAAAGTGCTCATGAAATTTTTTTCAAACCAAAAGAGCAACTTTTTTTGTTTTTTTTTTCTCCTGAAAATCGTTGTTCTTTGCAGTATTTTTGCCAAAAAATGTTTTTTTTTTGTGAAATCGGTATTATTGCAGCGTTATTATTAATTTTGTGAAATATTTTTTTAACAAGAAATTGCTGTCATGCAGCAATTTTAGTGGAGTTAATAGGTAATTAAGTGCAGCAAACTACTTTCTTCTAAGTTTTATCAATTTATTAACATTATGTTTGGGAGTTCTTTTACACTTTCTTTACTTATCAAATATCTAATATTAATGCATAAATATAATAAAATTATACCCTCAAAATAATAATGGGAGAAGAACACCTTGTTGTGAGAAAGTTGGTCTTAATAGAGAGAGATGAATTACAGAAGAAGACGAAATTCTCATCAATTATTTTAGTAAAAAAGTTTTTTATTTTCTGTCAATTAATCAACATGTAAATTTCTGTCGACTTTATAAAATTAAAAAAGATAGCTAAAATCGCTGCCCGAGGCAACGGTTTAATTTTTGATAAATTTTCAATTTTCATTTATTTTAAAATATTTTTCTTGGCTAAATTGTTGCAGAGCCAGCGACCTTACATTTCAAAAAGAAAAAAATTGGCCAAAATCGCTGCACAGACAGCGATGCTCTTTAAAAAAATTAAAGAAATAATTTGGAGAAAATCGCTCGTGGGTCAGCGATTTTGAACTTTAACGGGAGTAACGGAATGACAAAAATCGCTACGAGTAGCGATTTACCCCTTTGGCTAATTTTTTTTTGATGTGCCCTTTTGAAACTTTTGTGTCTTTTAGGATTCGCACTACATAATAATCAAGGTAAAACATCGTAAAATTTATCTTGGTAAAAAATATTACATGATCACTTTTTTCATAATCAAGACAACAAAGGGGATATGGAAAGTTAGGCATAAAATAAAAGTAAACTTGATTTTAATATACTAATGGCCTTAAAATGTAAAAGATCTGCAAAGGAGTTGAACTTTATTTTATATTTCTTAAATATTTATTGACAAAATCTTTACAAATAAAACAGTACTAAAATATGTACAATAAATAACTTTAACATTTACAGCCCACAAACTGGCCTCTAAGGCTCGTGAATTGGGCTTATTAAGCTAGATGACCAAATGAGGCTGGACTAAAAAATCACATTTCTAAATGAATAGAAAAAATTAGACTCAACCAACTTAATACATAAATTGAATTGGACCAACTTAATGGGTCAAACTCATTTTAATAACTCTAGTTATTATACTACAATAACCCAGCATGATAAGAGAAGCATATTGATTAACTATAAAAATATTTGAAAAACAAAACAGGAAGTTGAGGGTACTCTATCAAACACGTTATATGCGGAATATAATTGTTAAAGAGTGAAATATCAAATTTGTAGCTTGATTTATTGTAAAATTATTTTTCGAGTGTTATAATTATTCTATTGTTTCAAAGAGTATGTTCTCAAATTCATAACCCTTAATATTCTGATAAACAGAATCGACATATAATCTCCTTAAAATTGCTCTGTCTATAGAATTTTTGCCTAAGTCATCTACAATCCTTTAAAGTTGTCGATATATTTCACTTAGACACTCTAATTCAAATAATTATATCCCTCAGTTTCTAAAAGGATGACCTAGTTTGACTTGGAACGGAGTTTAAGAAAAAAAATAATACTTTTTAATCTTATGGTTCTAAATTATAGTTATGTCAAATGTACCAAAATGTTCTTTAATCTTATGGTCTTAAACATGCCACGTGGAAAGTTAAAGTTAAGGTATAGCTGAAAAAGGAAAGGGATCATTCTTTTGAAACAAACTAAAAAAAATAGGGTCATTCTTTTCGATACGGAGGGAGTAATTAAAAAAACAAAATGTGTCTAATTCAAATAGTTATAATTAAAAAAATAAACTTAAATCCTAAAATATGTTCCTGCCTCCGCCTCGAACCTTCCCCCCTCCCACTTCATCTTCTACTTTTTTTTAAAAAAAGAAATACTTAAATCATTTAAGTTTTTCTACTTTTTTGTTCTAATTTATTTTTGTGTTTAAGCTTAAATTTGATTCATGTTTGAGTTGGTTTGGCGTAAAGAAAAAGATGAGTGGTGACAGTGTTTTCCGATGAACAAATTAAAATTTGTTATTGATTGTTTGAAAGGCTAAAAAGAAAGAAAGATATTGATAATGACAATTTGGAGGAAAATGAGGTGGTGTCGATGGATGGTTACAAAAGAGAAATAAGATGATGGTATGAAAAAAAAGGGGGAAATAATATGATGGTCTGCAAAAAAAAAGGGAAGAAGACGATCGGAGAAAGAAAGGAAAAGAGAGAACTATGGATATAGTGATGACATATCTAATTAAAAAACAAGGTGACATAGAGAAGAAGAATGATTGCACCTTGAGGAAAAATGGAAATGAACTTTAATGGTGGGACACCGGTGATTGCGGTGATGAGAAGGTGGTTTCAATGGTGGTTTAGTCAAAGAAGAAGAAGAGATGCTAATTTCATTTTATCTTTTTTTTTTTTGCTATGCCTTTCACTCTTTTTTCATGCGTGTATTATACACCTACTACCTTGTCAGCACAAAATGTTTATTATAGGTGTTCAATAGGTAAGTGATTGAATTGAGGTGTCTAAGTGAAATATGTGAACAACTTTAGAGGGTTGTGTATGACTTAAGCCTAGAACTTTCTAGCCAAAAAGGATTAAAGCTAGCCAAAGGGCTAATACTGCCCTAGAAGAAGACCCCTAGGGATCCAACTCTACAGAGGATCCTCCAAAATTTATTGATGAGACGCACAAGACACTCCATATTATACATATCTCGAGAAAGAAGCTATCGAATTGGCTTCTTACCACCTGAAAGATATTGTATGATATGTGGGAAGACTTTAGATGTCCTAACGCACCTCCAAAATGTAGCGAAAGTTTACAAAGGCATTCTTAGAGCATGTTCTATGGCTAAAGATCAAGAAATCTATGGTCAATTAATTTGTAAGGCCTTCTTAGACTATGCTTTGGAAGTACATGCTCGACGAGTCTCATGTGCTTTCTCTTGATTCAGTTGAGATGGGCCAAAAGTTATCTTTTGAAAAGGAGCCTATAACCATTTTGGATAAGCAATTCAAAAAGCTTAGGACCTAAGATATTGCACCAATGTGGGTGCAGTGGAAACATTGAGTCGACTTGGGAGATTAAGTTCTACATGCATGCCAGATATCCTCATTCTTTTGAGGATTCATATACTTTTCTTTTCTTTATGTTTATGGAGGAACATGATTTTTAGTGATGAATAATATAATGACCCGGTTGGTAATTTTTGAAAATTTGTGTTAAATACTATTTTACCCATTCTAATATTGACCCCAAATAGGGGTGACAAATGGTTGGATTGGATCAGATTTGAATGGCTTGAATATGGTTTGAGAAAAAATGGTTTGAATTACAATCCATCAAAATATAATATGGGCTAATATGGATTTGCTCAAATATGGTTTGGGCAAAATGATTCTAACCCATATAAATAAATTTGTTTTTCAAAAAAAAAAAATTTAACCCTCCCCCACCTTTCACCAACCTAACCCTTTAACTTTTTTTGTTTTTCAAAAGTAAAAAAAAAATCTGTTTTTTTTTATAAAAAAATACCCCCTTCCCCCACACCTTCCACCAACCTATCCCTAAAAAAATTTTGCCTTTCAAAAACATAAAAAATAAATCTCTTTTTTCAAAAATATTTTTTTTACCCCCCGGGACCCCCTACCCCCCTCACCAACCTACCCCTAAATTTTTTTTGTGTCAAAAAACAAAAAAAAATGTTATTGAAAAAACAAAAGTTTACCCCCTCCTCCTTCCTCCCCTCCCCCCTAATATTTTTTTCCTAATATTCAAAAAAAGATAATAATTTACCCCCTCTCCTGGGCACCCCCGTCTGCCCCCACCTTCCACTAACCGACCCCTAATTTTTTTTTGTTTTCCAACAAAAAAAATTGTTTCATTTCACTTATATGGGCTGGATATGGATTCTCATGTTAGCACATTTTGTCCATATTTATATGAGCTTAAATAGGTTGAAGATCATATTTACCCTTTTAAGAAAAAGAAAAAAAATATGAGTGATCCATTTAATTTAATATGGACAAAATGTTTTCATTTCACTTATATGGATTGAAATTGCCACCCCTAACCCCAAGTCCCGTCTGATTGGGTTTTTGGAAGTTGGTTCTAAACCTTGAGTAAGAAGTTGAGAATTGTGTAAATTTTGATATAGAGTTGGTCTAAGAGAGTTATCAGTTTCAAATTCGGAGTTCTTTTGAGGATTTGAGATCTTAAGTTGCAAATTCATGAAATTTTAGCTTTTGAATTAACTTTGGTCAACATTTAGGATTCTCATGCTTGAAAATTCTAATTCCCAAAGTACCATTGGATTTGAGGATTATCTTTAGGCCTACATGTTGATGAAAGGGATGTCTATTAAGGTGGGATCAGTTCTTAGACAGCATATAATATAATTCCTTAATAATATGAGTTAAAGGTTTTGTTATGGGAGCTTGGAGCTTGGTAACCCTATTCCTTCGGTCGAAGGG